TTGGTGACATTGTTGTATAAATGCGACATGGGCAGCGTCATGTTCCAAAATTGAAGGCTTTTTCTTTTATGTGCGCTAAGTTGAGAATGTTGCTTAACTCCCTGAGGCAAGTTAACCTGGCCTCGCAAAGTACTGCTCGTCACCATGTCGCCATGACAGAATATATGGGCGAGCTGAGAAAAATAACCAGCGAACATCAACGAAGTGCTCATAACTTTCTAGCGCAGCCAAAGCTGTTGAACTTGTTTTTTTTGGTATATGTTAGCTCTAATCATACTCATTGCACACATAACAATGTTTATTCCTGCATTTTTTTCTTTCCCAAGATGTCATACTACATGGGATTAGCGGACAACTCGATCAGGTCGGTGGCCAAGGGCTGTCTTTCCGACAACATCCATGGTGGGCCCCACTGACAAGTGCTGCATAAAGTCGAAGACTTCCTGCCTTGATAACTAAATGAATATATGATTCCAAACGACATCACAGACGTTTCTTTTCCACATTTTGGAATCGCAATGACAGAATAAAACAATGCTGCTCACATAATACCCTTTTCAATAACTTGATAATTAAATCAAATTACTGATATATTTATATATCGGTTTATACTGCAAATAAAACGTTTTCATAATTTTAAAAATTATCAAAAAATTACGAATTGGTTTTATTCAGTTGTACAATATGATTTTATTGTAATATATATCAATTTTTAAAGTGAAATATAAATTCTTTAAACTATTTTGTAAATACTGTTTTTTGAGCTAAAAGATTTACCTAAACACCAAACATTTTGAGCAAACTTGTTAAAATAGTGACAATGCAGTGACCAATGACTTAAAATGACTTAATGAGATGCCAGGCTAAGATATTGAACATTTCTATAAAACCGTCAGTGGAAACATGCTATGCACACTTGCACAGGCCTGTCACTGGCAGCCTAATGGGCAGTTTTCAAACTTAATTTTTAAAAATACCTGATAAATCACAGAATCAATGGCAATAAGTACAATTGTAATTGAATTATACAAAGGCCATGCTTGGGAGCCCCAAAAGGTTTAACTTTATCTATGTGCAATTAAGATGTATTCAGTAGGATTGAATTCTATTTCTAGTGATTAAGGTTTATTTAACCACGACCAATACCAGCTCCAGCCTGACAACTTGCTCAGTTCCACAATTATACAATACAAGCCAATTTCAACAAAAACAATGTTATTTCATGCATTTTTACATAGAATATTTGTACATGTTCAATTATCATCCATCCAGAATTGAGTGAGTGACTCACTCACTCACTGGGTCTAATCTGGACTCTTCAGTATTCTGGCTATTTTTCCACTTTCAATGAGAAATCCGTGAAATTCTCGTTTTTCGGCAATCTCATCATGAATAAGTAAAATAAGTCTTGCTCAGTATAAGTAATCTAAGCATGATACTTTCATTTCTATACAATTTTTCCAGCAGATGGAATGTTCTGAACAGAATACGCTTGAACCGAACATAAATATATAAGATAGAATAGAAAATGTACACATGCTGAACATGCTGCTCTCAGGCTTAGATAACAAACTTCATGGTTTTCCAGCAGATGGAATGTTCTGAACAGAATATAATTGTCTGACTCTGATCAGAATATACTTGTCAGTCATCTACTTTACTGAAGCAAACAAGAGATTGTTAAAACATCAAATCATTTTTAATTCCTGATTAAGTTCAAAATTTTAATCCATATTTATGTTTGAAAATGCTGTTGCCCGCTGGCCATGATACTTTAATACCTATAGGTGGAACTAAAAAAATTGGGTCTAAAAAATCCTATGCATTTTCACTATGAGCCTATGACCTAATCAAAAGTACAGAAAGATTAATATTAACGGTAAACTTCACGTTAAGGATAGTTTTTCTTTTAAATTTAACGGGTTCAAGGAGTTATTAACTTTCTTGAAGATGATTTTGAATCTATATGTAACTAGCAGGCCACTTGTGCGACGAAATTAGATAAGGCGACATATCGGCTCAGGCCCTCAGGATGTGAAATAGCGACGGCTGCTTAGTCGTTTGTATACCGTGATGGCAATCTTATCTGACAAAAGTGAAAAAAGTCTATCTCACCTCCTTTGCACATGATCAAATTTCGAGAGAGACAATTGTTTAAAAATCACTCCGTCCACTCACTCCAATGTAACCTCCGAAGTCTAACCAGTATAGGTTTGTCAGATTCACGTAACATGAGGCTTAGTCTTTAAATTGCGCAACGATGCATGAAATGTTGCCACAATAAACTGATTAAGTATGCTACTTTGAGAGGAAGAATTTAAATTGAAATTTGTGGACATTATTATATAATGTCCACAATTATATATGTTATATTATATTATATGTTAATTATATTATACGTAATTAATATGTAATATAAATTGGAGAAAAATTCGAAATATTTGGATATTTAGCAAGTCAATTTGTTTCCAGTCAGGATAGTTTATACCAGTTTATAGTTATAACGATGAAGAAAGTGCCTATATACCTGGCCTTTCAATCCATAAACATTTGGGTCAAAATGTACTGTTAAACTTTTCAAACAATCGATATGGTGAGAGTTCATATGGTCGGTGAAGGCATTTTAAACTCTTCTTGCTATTTTGTTCAAAAAATAGATTTTTGAATTATATGGCAATTTATTAAAATGATATTCAGATTTTATCGCCTTGTTTATATTTTTTTAATAATAAATCCTCATCAATATTCATCGTGGTTCGAAAAAAAAGATATAAAATCAAAATGAGTGATTCATTCTTCCATGAATAATTGCTGTAGAAATTAATTGTCTTTCCAGCTATTTAATTACGCCAAACCTCCAAAATATCCAATAAACGAATTATGAGAAATATAATTTCTGAAATGCCTCTAAAGTTACAACAAACCCTTTCTGAGCAAACTTTCCTGAAATTAATCATGCATTAAAGGCGGTTCAATGTAAACTGTAAGAAATCAGATCATTGCATCATGCATCGAACTCACCTTCATTTTGTCAGATTTCTGACCGTATACCGTTTAACAAGCTAATAACAGTATTCTGAAATGCGTACGAATGCTGTAGCTCTATGGAAACATCGATAGATGATATAAGTAACAATTTCTTTTCAATAGGTGTGGATGTCAAAGCCTACGTTTAAGTTGGGGCACCAAAATACGCACGCACGATATTGAGTTCGATTGCAGAATCGTTCATAGTACGAGTATATACAGCAACCGAAACGTGGTCGAATAGAGTCAATAGACCAACATTATACTTTATCATCGAATCAAACAAAGAACAATTCTTATAATAAGGGGATCAACATTCTACGATCTACGTGATATAATAAGGAATTGAAAACAGAGAAAATATCAGCAATAACTTGGGCTAAATAAAGAAATATTTAGCAAAACTTCGGGCAACATTTCACTTTAGACTTATTGTACTTCCAAATTCCCATGGAGACTAGCCATGGAGTGATAAAATTACATAGCACAGCATATTTTGTCGATTTATTGGAGTGTTTTTACTTGGGCAAGCTAATTGTTCCGTTGTTAAACTAACATAAGCGTTTGATACATGCAGCCTGCTTCTCGTATAGCCGTATCCTTAATGCATCAGTAGGTGCTATTTGTCACGTTCTCTTAGGTTCTGTACGTGCTCCACGCGATGGAGTCAGTATCCAGGCGTCAAGGACTTAAGATCCCCATGCGCACAACGTGTTGGAGATCCTCAACGTGCCCCAAGTTGCAAGGTTTCCCTCTGTAGATATTGTTGGATTTGCAACCCCTGGCAACCGACTTCATTTGATTTGTCAGGGGTGCCTAGATCTATCACCTTGTGGAGGTTTAGAAACATCAAACATTCTGCGACGCAATGAATTTGAGGTTATTTGTCGATACGTAAACTATGAAAACACTACGTAAATTAATGTCAACATCAGCGATCGACAACAACATATCGTGGAAGGAGCTCAAGAGGTTTTGCTGCTTGGAAAACTAACAATTGCATTATTGATGTTCTTAATTGTCCACGTTCACAGATCACTTATCTGGTCATGGAAACCAGGTAACAATCGTAACGAAATAAGAGAAAACCTCTGCTACAGGAGGTAGGCTTAACTTGAACAGATGTTGTTGAAATTCATGTTTTCTCATTAGTTAGCTATGACCAGGAGTTAACCACTCGAAAATTCAAAATCCACGTGAACCTACGATAAAACAATTAAAGACCTCGTGGGCCCTCTTGTGACGTACCCAATGCACGTACGCATGATGGTAGGAGACACCGCTGTTATCGGCCAAATGCGTGGGACGCACGCATATGGCCACGCTGTTGAACTGAGTTCCCCTGCGAACATAAATAAGGTTATTCATTGTGAGTGACATATACGTGCACATTTACGTAAGCGCAACGTAAGCGCAACGTAAGCGCAACATAAGCGCAACATAAGCGCAACTTAAGCGCAACATAGGCGCAACATAAGCGCAACATAAGCGCAACATAAACGCAACATAAGCGCAACATTAGCGCAACATAAGCGCAACATAAGCGCAACATAAACGCAACATAAACGCAACATAAGCGCAACATAAACGCAACATAAACACAACATAAACGCAACATAAACACAACATAAACACAACATAAACAAAACATAACATAAACATAATATAACATAAACATAACATAAACATAATATTACATAAACACAACATAACATAATATAACATGTCATATCAACCGCGGGGCCATATTTAGTTTTGTAATGATTTATTAACGTTAATTGTGCGAGATTCACACGAGGAACACGTGCTGATTTTTCCATGCTTATCTTTCTTTGATGCGGCGGCATACCAGACTTGTTTACTTCTAGTCTATTTAGATTCTAACATTCAGGTATGCCTACGCATCGATATGATACTGTGAGATATAATGGAATATATAACTGCATCTTCGCCCACATGTCGCACTACAGGTACTTGAAGCAGTTATCTCGTCCAGCCGCTGCATTAAAAGTCACCAGTCGAGAAGATGGGATCTTTGGTACGCGTCTTACCGGCCCTCGTGGCCGCGATATCTTGCTTCACGGCGCTGGCCATCGGTGAGGACCTTTGGATGTGCTAGTGAGGGACTAAGTGGCGATTATCGGAAGTAGGATGAACCACACAATTAAATTTCATTTAACAATTCTTTTTACACCATTTGTATTTCAGAATTAAGAAGAAACTTACAAAACTTACTATTTACATTTCTACTAATAGAATTTATTACATCACCCCATGCAGACATCCCCGACCTGCGTTACCTGAAAGCCTACATCAACGATGACCCCGACGGCCCCTACCACGAGTTCCTGGACTACTCCCCCGACCTCAGCGTCCAGGGCTTGGATGATTTATCCATTAAGCGCATCTGCTTAACTGGACAGTAAGTGAATATTTTTCAACGACATATCCGAGTTCGCGGGGAAGTATCATGTACAAATCGAAAACAATGAAGGATTTTTAGGATGGTGTTGGCAGAAGTTCTGGTGACTCTCTTTCCACAGGTGTTCAAAGTTATCATCAAGTTGAGTGTCCTCTTGGTCCTCCAATCTAAACTGTCACCTCTAAGTTACAGTTCCTACAAGAGCGTATAACTCATTATGTGATCGTGAAGCTCAAAATACGATCAGGGTTTTTTTTACTTCTATTCGTATTAGGATTTGAAAACTTACCCCCATCTGATTCATCTGATGTTTTGACTAGCAATAATTATGTGCTATTATATAGTTAATGCTTCTCGTTAGATATACTACTCGTCTTTCGGTGTGCATTAAACCATCAAAAACCTGCTTTATCTTCCTCTCAGATGGTTGCTGTACGACGAGCACTACTACAACGGGATTGACACTTTTATTATTGGGCTCAACGACTGTTACAACCTGTCTTCCAGTGACTCTGTAAGCAAACGGAAGGATTTATAACTGGAATGCATAGAATAAATGTGAATGTTTAAAACGCTTTGTGTATGGATGTATCAACACAGTGGATGTATCAACATGTACTACTATTACCTGGTAGATATCTTCTCTGCGGTACACGGGCAGCCCCTACGGTCTGAACGACGTCTACTACAACCTCTACGAGGGGGAGAACTACGGGGGCAATGAATTCAAGGGCAACACAAACACCCCAACCGTCGCCAACTTGGATATGAATGTGTCTTCCTTGACTATCAATGGACAATCGCCGTGGACTTTCTTCACGTACGTCTTGTGTTATAATTCAACCCAAAAATCTGAGAGAGGGATATATGTTTTGGTTTAATTTCGCGTCTGTTACGATATGGCGGAAATTAGCTTGCACATCTGGCGATGAACGACGTAGGCAATCAGGCACAAGAAAAAATAAATGTCTCCAAGACGAGAGCCCTGGTGCAGCATGCATAAGATTATTCGAGTGCAGGATTAATAACAGATAACGCCTTCTTCATGTAGCACAGGTACGAGAATACTGATGCTACGAGATGGGTCTTAAGAAGTAAGGATCTGTGACACATGATGTGAGGATACGTGCCTCATATAAAGTGAAGAAACGTACCTCATAGAGCGTGGAACCGTGCCTGATGAAGGTTAATGCTGTCATTGGTGCGCAGGGGCCTGCAGTACGCCGGGGAGGCCGTGTGCGTGTACCCTTACGGCCCCGTCAGCAACAACGGCATTTATTTGAATTTCTATGGAATTGGAACAGTAAGGAAACAAATGGAGTGTGCGCATCTTTTTTGTTTGCCCTAGTAAGAGTTTTCCTCCTTTTGCTAGCGAGCGCATCGTTATTATAGCGATAAAATAATAATTGTGTGTGTGTATACAAAATTGGCATCTTGATGGTAATACATTAGGTTCACTGTAACGTAAATATTATGATGCGATTATTCGACATTGTTTCATTAATGTTGTTTATTTGTATCAGATTACGAAGATACGAATTATGAAATTATTTTGAACGCTTAAAGGACCATGACCAAGTCCCCTTCATATAATTTCAACCAATCAAAATTTTCAATTGTGATTAATAAAGAAAGCTTGCCCAGTCAGAAATCGCCGCAGTCTGGAAGCCAGCCGCGGGTGAACTTGCCTGCGCCAACGCTCGCCCCAGCGCAACGCCAGGGTGGTCAACAGCGCAGGAATGTCCACAGCAGCGCAATATTGTGGCAGCATACCTCCAATATTTATCCAAAATTAACCGAATTCTTTCGTGTTCACTGCTACACACACCCACGGTACTTCCTGCACCAGTATAGTATAGACGCTAGAGCGTAGACACTCCCGCGCATGCCTACTGCGCAGCGCGGCCCGCGCATGCGCAGGGCAGTTACTTGCATTTGAGAAGCATGTGAGTTATGCAATACGTTCAGTCGTATTCGTTACCGTTTGGCGTTCATTTGGTATATCTATTATTTTGTGCATTTATTTTTATTTTTTACTTTCAGATCATTCACTGATTTCGCGTTTTTCATCGAATTTATGTCAATTAACTGAATACACATGATACTGGATGGAACTAGTTTCACAAATACTGGCGACATGGATTCGCTGTAGTATAGAATAAAACTGTCGAAAATAAAAAATGTAGAAATAAAGAATCATGTAAACCTCATAATTTTAGAGAAATCAAATAAAAGAATAATTCAATCCGTTTCTTCCGGTATAAGCTCCACACGAATATTCATGCCTAGAAGGTTCTTTCAATATTCCTCCGCCTTCCTCACCCTTCACCCCCTTCCTCTCCCTGCCTCCTCAAAGCTTGAACCGTTACCGCCGGCATATTCGACGTAGGCCGCGGTAGAGCTGCGGCAAGTTGCCTGGCGCAGCTTTTGCCGACCGAGGCCTCGCGCTGTTCGAGGCAGATGAGGCCATATCATCGCTAGACTGCTTGGACGCGAGGTTAAGTCGGCCAAAACGGCCTAGATTTGCGCGTCTGCGAACGTCTCTGCGGCGAACGGCCGCAATGCCTGCGAGAATTTCGAACTGGGTGAGGTGACTTATTTTGAGGACTTGGTTGCATAGATGTGACATCGACTGCGCCATGTTCCAAGTTTGATGGCTTTTTCTTTTATGTACGCTAACATGAGAACACTGCAGGGAGTTAACCTGGCCTCGCAAAGCACTGCGTGTTACCATGTCGCCATGACAGAATATATGGGCGACGGAGAAACATAACTAGCGAACATCAACCAAGTGCTCATAACTTTCTAGGGCATACAAAGCTGCTGAACTTGATTTGTGGCTTTTGTTAACTCTAATCATACGGTACTCATTGCATGCACTTCAATGCTTAACCCTGAATTTTTTCCTTTCCCAAGATTACAGACTTAGGCTTACCGGACAACTCGATCAGGTCGGTGGCCAAGGGCTGCCTAACCGACAACGTCTACAGGGGCGACCGCCCCCACCAGGGGGAGTGGAGACCAGGGTGGAAATTAGGACATCCGACAAGTGATGCATGAAGTCGAAGACATCCTGCCTTGATAACCTAAAGAATATATGATTCCAAACGATATCACAGAAGTTTCACTTTCACGTTTTGGAACCGCAAGTACATAATGAAAAAATACTGCCTGAATAATACCCATGGCAATAACTTTTTCATTTGAACAAATTGCCGATATTCATGGCAGTTTATGCTGCGATTCAAACATTTTCATAATCGCGACGAATAATGTGTTCATTAAATTCCTGATATAAATTAACAAAAAATTGCGAATTTGCCTAATTCACTTGTACAATAATATGTATTTGCTCGTATAAATATTAATTTTCAAAATGGAATGTTTATTCTCTAACCAATTTTGTAACTTCATTTTTTGCTGAGCTAAAAGATTTACATAAATACCAAACATTCATATGAAATATATAGGACAAAGATATTGATTTTTTACATTACTTTCAAGGCCAGATCGAAAAAACCGACGAACAGAACGCGTGTGACTGCGGTTTCCGATGTCATTATGATTGCGTTCTTAATTAATTGCATCGTTCATGATCATTATGGCTGCATTGTGCATCATCATTATGAAAGATCTTTCTCCAACTGTGGCTCAAATGTCTAGCATTTTATAGTTAATATATTTAACCATAACTACCAGAACTGTGCAACTACAGGACTGCATATCGTATCAGTAACTGACAGTCTGACAGACCGAATATTGTAGCAGTGACTGACAGACTGCATATTGTAGCAGTGACTGCCAGACTGCATATTGTAGCAGTGACTGCCAAACAGCATATTATAGCAGTGACTGACAGACAGCATATTGTAACAATAACTACCCTCTTCTGTCCGTTTTCTATTTATTTCATGTTTTCCTTCATTATCAGAAAAAATTCACACGTACTCCAGGTCTTTGAATTCGTGCTTTGAATATGTGTAAAATTGTGTACGAGGTTTCAGAAAGATCGTTCACTATATACTGAAAAATTTTTCTAACCCAGACGCTTCCCTTAAAATTTTATTGTTTTATTTTAGAATTTCCATCTTTTTGATTTTATACATCATTTACACATCCTGACGCCGGCCTAAATAGGAGCCGGATTTGCTGGCCGGAGCCTGCCGAACAATGGTGGTCAGCACGACTATAACTAACAATATTACACTATGAAACAATTTTATTTAACACAACACATAAATACATTCAAAGAATTCAAACCATTCATTCAAAACTCTAACATTAAAGTAGAGAGCAAATGCACTATCACCCACCTAATAGGGACGCTACAGGTGCACTCGAAAATAGTGACAGTAGGTACGCTCCGACCAAGTGACAGCAATCGAATGAGAAGAAAAATAACCCGGGCTTCAGGCCGGTAACGCCACGTCAGCACATAGCACGGTTGCCAACCCTACAAGCAGCCGTAAAACTCACGACACTAAATTAAATTTAAATAACTTAAATCATAAAAGGTGAATTTCCCTTACATGGTACTTATACCGTATACTTGATTATGGGTTGACTGTTTACAGCTGAGGGATTACACAGGTTTGACGGTAAAAAAAATGAGTTAAATAAGCAAATTTAAATATTTAAATTCGGATGTAAATTTAAGTGTGAATTATAGTGTGTTATAAGGAGCATGAGAGGGGCAAGCAGTAACTGTACAAAGGTAATACCAAATCAATGCACATGATTTGACATATTGAAAGCATAAAAAAGTATCACTAATTAATAACACGCAGCATTCAAGTTCAATTTGTAGTGATCAATTTGAAGCAATGAAGAGAATAATTATGTTAAAAAATTCTAATTTATCCATGCCCCTTCTTGAAGAATATTCGTAATGAAATAGAAATTAAACTGACCAAAAATAATAATAAATAAACACTCGTTTAGAATGAAAGAAATGAAAAGCAACTCATGAGAACAAATAAACTAAAATGATGCAGAAAGTATTGATGTGATTTGGCTACCATTAAGTGCTAAAGTGCAACAGTAATACTACGGACTGTTCCAGCCCACTTTTGGTTTTTTTCTCCCCAAGATATGCCCCCTTATGGTTTTTTTTTTTTGTTTTTTGCGTTTTTCAGAGTCGATTGAGGTTAGGTTGGTTAGGAAAAGTTTTTTTTTTGTATAGAAAAATAATAGAAACTTGACCTAACTGGACCTAACCTTGATGATTGTTTGTTGAAGTTACTTAGTCTAGGTTTTTTTTACTATGAATCTAGGTTTTTTCTAGGTTTCTTCTAGTTTTTTTTTGGGTTGTCTAGGTTTTTTTCCGAGTGGGCTCGACTTTTCTAGGTTTTCTGGGTTTTTCTAGGTTTTAGCCCACTTCTGGTATTCTGGTATTCTGGTATGGTCCAGTATGACCCTTATGGTAACCCTTATGGTACTGGTTTCTGGTATTTATGACCCTTATGGTCGTTAAAGTGGGCTGAAAAAGCCCACTAAAGGTCGTTTTTTTAAACTGGGCTCAGCCCACTAAAAACCGGGCTCAGCCCACTACCAGATCCATAAAGGTGCGATTACCATAACTTCTATGACCACCTGAGGGCAGTAACCAATTTCGAGTCGTGGAACAAAAATGGATTTAACACTTAGCACTCGGAGATAAAATGACCACATTTGCAATTAGAGGCAACTATTTCCAAGGAATTTCTTCATATATCTTCAACAGAAACTCCGAATCCGCAGTGCCATATTTAGTTTTGTGATGATTTATTAACGTTCATTGTGAGAGATTCACACGAGGAACACGTGCTGATTTTTTCATGCTTATCATTCTTTGATGCAGCGGCATACCTGACATTAATCTATTTAGATTCTAACATTTGGTATCCCTGCGCACCGATGTGATACCGAAAGATATAATGGAATATGTAACTGCGCCATCGCCCACATGTCGCACTACAGGTACTTGAAGCAGCTATCTCGTCCAGCCGCTGCATTATACGTCACCAGTCGAGAAGATGGGATCTTTGGTACGCGTCTTACCTGCCCTCGTGGCCGCGATATCTTGCTTCACGGCGCTGGCCATCGGTGAGGACCTTTGGATGTGCTAGTTGGGGATTAACTGGAGATTATCTGGAGAAGTAGGATTTTACGCCATTTGTATTTCAGAATTTAGAAGAAACTTACAAAACTTACTATTTATATTTCTACTAATAGAATTTATTACATCACCCCAGACATTCCCGACCTGCGGTACCTGAAAGCCTACACCGACTATGACCCCGACGGCCCCTACCACGAGTTCCTGGACTACTCCCCCGACCTCAGCGTCCAGGGCTTGGATGATTTCACCATTAAACGCATCTGCTTAACTGGACAGTGAGTGAATATTTTTCAACGATATATTCGAGTTTCGGTGGAGTATTATGCATAAATCGAAAACAGAAGGAATATTTGGATGGTGTTGGGGGAAGTTCAAGCAACTCTTTCCATAGACCTAAAAATTTATCATCAAGTTGAGTGTCCCGTTGGTTCTCCAATCTCCAGTGTCACCTCTGAGTTACAGTAACTGCATGCGTGTAACTCATTATTTGATCGTGGAACTGAAGATTCGATCAGGGGGGATTTTTTACTTCTATTCGTAGTAGCATTTGAAAACTTAGCCCTATCTGATTCATCTGATGTTTTGACAATGTGCTATTATATAATTAATAATTCTCGTTAGAGTTATTACTTCTCTTTCGGTGTGTCTTAAATCTGAAATCTGCTGTATCCTCATTTCAGATGGATCATGTGCAGTGAGCGCTACTACAGTGGATTTAGCATTAATTATGGCGGGGTCAACCACTGCTACAACCTGTCTTCCAGTTACCCTGTAAGCTAACGAAGGATTTATAACTAGATCGCATTTAATAAATAGGAATGTGAAAAAACGCGTAGTGTATGTATCACAAGGGATGTATCAGCATTAACTACTATCGCCTGGCAGATATCTTCTCTGCGGTACGCGGGCAGCCCCTACGGCCTGGACGACGTCTACTACAACCTCTACGAGGGGGAGAACAGGACGGGCAATGAATTCAAAGGCAACACAAACGTCCCGACGGTCGCAAACTTAGACATGAAAGTGTCCTCCTTCTCCATCAGTGGACAAACGCCGTGGACTTTCTTCACGTACGTCTTGTGTTATAATTCAACTCATATATTCGATGAATAGATAAATGCTTTGGTTCAATTTTGCCTTTGTTAGGATATGGAGGAAATTCGTTTACACATCTGATGATGAGTGTAGTAAGCAATCAGATACTTTATGAGAAAAAATAAATGCCTCCAAAAACTGAAGCAGCTGTGCAGTGTAAATAAGATTAAACGAGTGATAATAACAGATAACAGCTCTGTTTAGGTAGCACAGATACGAAAATATTGACGCTAAGAGATGGGTCTTTAGAAGTAAGGATCTGTGTCACATGATGAGGATACGTGACTCATATAAAGTGAAGAAACGTACCTCGTACAGCGTGGATTCGTGCCTGGTGAAGGTTAATGGCGTCTTTGGTGCGCAGGGGCCTGCAGTACGCCGGGGAGGCCGTGTGCGTGTACCCGATTTATATGACCAACGGCGGCATTTATTTGCATCTCGGAGGAGTTTTAAGGGTAAGAAAACCGAAGAAGTGTGCGCGTCTTTTTTGTCTGTCCTAGTAAGAGTTTTCATTTTGTTGCTAGCGAGCGCATCGTGATGGTCGTTACAGCAATAAAATATTAATTGTGTGTGTGTGTGAAAAAAATTGGCATAATGATGGCAATACATAAGGTATCGCTGTAACAATATTATAATGCAAGTATTTTATATTGTTCTATTTGTGTTGTTTATTTGTATCTGAAATCGAAGATGCGTCGTAAAAATATTCAGAGCGCTCAATGGACAATGACCGAGTGCTCTGTGTGAAATCGCAGGTAATCAAATTATTTCACTGTGACTAGTAATTAAAGATCAAAGTGAATTATAGCGGTGACTTGGTTGCATAGATGTGACATCGACAGCGACATGTTCCAAAATTCAATGCTTTTTTCTTTTATGTACGCTAACTTGAAAATGCTGCTTAACTCACCGCAGCAAGTTAACCTGGAGTGAGTTAAGCAGCATCCTCAAGTTAGCGTACACGAGTCACCATATTGTGTACTGCGGGTCACCATGTCGCTATAACAGGAAATATCGGCGAGATGAGAAACATAACTAGCGTCAACGAAGTTTTTATAATTTTCAGGCGCAGCCAAAGCTGCAGAACTTTTTTTCTGGTTTTGTTAACTCTAATCATACTCATTGCTTGCACGTCAATGCTCAACCATGAATTTTTTTCCTTTCCCAAGATTACAGACTTAGGCTTACCGGACAACTCGATCAGGTCGGTGGCCAAGGGCTGCCTCACCGACAACGTCTACAGGGGCGACCGCCCCCACCAGGGGGAGCTCGGAGACCAGGACGGACATTAGGACATTCGACAAGTGCTGCATGAAGTAGAAGACCTCCTGCCTTGATAACCTAAAGAATATATGATTCCAAACGATATCACAGACGTTTCACTTTCACGTTTTGGAACCGCAATTACATAATAGAAAATGCTGCCAACATAATACCCATGTCAATAACTTGATAAGTCGGTCAAATTGCCGATATTTATAGCAACTTTCCCTCCAATTAAAACATTTTCATAATTGAGAGTAATAATTTGTTCAAAAAGGTCCTGAAAAGAAATTAACTAAAAATTACTAATATGCCTTATTCACTTGTAATAATTTGATTTTTTTTTCTTATAACACATTATTTTTGAAATGATATATAAACTATCTAACCTATTTTGTTAAATATTTTTTGCTGCGCTAAAAAATTTACCTGAATATCAATTATTCTGAGGAATTATGACGAGGGTATATAGGGCAACATGGGGCAGCGCGCCCCCCCCTTTTTTAAACTAAATTTTTGACGAAATTTTAATTGATACGAGGTGGTTCTTTGTTTTGTTTAAAGGTATAACTAATGAGGAATGTATGATGGTAATTAGACGCCTATAAAGTTATTCAGTTTTTAATGAAAAACTATTTTGTAAAAAGTGTCAAATGGGACCATTGCCAAGGGGTGGGGCAATAAAAAAATATGACATTCATTCATTTATTAACAACTCAAAAAAATCATATATCCTTAACTTGAAAAAAATATACTCTTGGCCTTAAAAATCTATCACTGACGTGAAGAAAAATATTTCATTGACATAAAAATATGTATCCTTGACTTGAAAAATATATCCTTGCGATAAAAAATTTGTCCATGACATGAAAAAATGTATCCATGACTAGGAAAAAATATTTAGTTGATCAGAAAAAAACTTTGTTCCAGTTTCGTCCATAATACAGATATTATGTGCAGAGAATTCGTACCTAATCTGGATTTCAACCAACACCATAAAAACTCGATCATCAACTTTTGGCTCATTGGTGTTGACTGAAATCAACTTTTGGCAAGGCAAGAGTCAATAACTCGATAAGGGATCATAAATACGCATATTTAGAAACTAAACCTGCTGCCTTGAGGCGGCAAATCAAAAAATCATGCAATATGAAATGTAATTTGTAATTCAAAAAGCTAGTTTTGAAAAGATCATTGAGACAAATCTAATGATGTATAACACGAGACTTCACCATGGGCGCTTTGCCCCGTGTCACGCGTGCATGGCCCGTTGCCCCACTAGGTATCATTAAAATCATTATATTAAAATCATTACATTATCATTATATCGTGTCAACATTTTATTTTAAAACCTAATAGTCTAAACTTGATCTCAAAATTATCCCTATAAATATTACTTTCAAAATATAATTCACAGTAATTTCAAAAGCTTCATCTACAGTATAATCGGAAACAGTTTTATTTAGCAGTAAAAACTTTTATCTGGTCTAAAACAGTTATTCACAAATAAATTAATAACGCGAACACTTAGCAAAACGTAAATCCGTACACTTCATCCCAGTGAAACTGTCGACCGGCGGTAGAGAACACGGAACAATATCTGCCATACTTAGCGAGAAACCCGCTATGGGCCCGTGACCCGCAGTGGGCTCGCTGCCCCATGTTACCCTACTTTTAACATTATTTTTAAGGCGAGCAATACTGACGAACAGGAAGCTCGTGACTTCAGTTTTCGATGTCATTAAGATTACGTTCATATTTGATTGCATCGTGCATCATCATTATGACTGCATTGTGCATGATCATTATGAATGCATTATGCATCATCATTATGAATGCATTGAAATCACTTGTTTGCTGAAATCGCAAGTTAACTAGGAATTTAAAAGCAAAAACAATACCACAAAAATTCACCATATCTTTATAAGAGAAAAGGTTTCGGAGTTCAGCTCCATCGTCAGTTCACAAAATTCAGTTCAGAAGAAGTTCAAATCTAGAAACACAGATACAATCAATAAGTAGAGTAAAAGGCACTGTTAGGTTTTAAAACGGAGAATAAATAAATAAGACATGAAATTAACGCTAGTGAACGGCCTATCTATTTACTATTTCAAGAGGAACGGAGCTAAAAGCGGCATTTAGACTAGGCTTCTGCTTGAATATATATAGGGATTCTAAAATACGTAGATCAGTAACACCGGATGCGGAAGCTAGAATATTAAAACCATCATCGGATACAGAGGTGTTGCACTGCTCAGCATGCACACGTACAGCTGAATGAGGTGGATGTGCAAGTAGGTTCCTCGTCCTATAACTCCTGCCCTTATGCTCAGCCAGCCTAGTAGGTATAGAAATTGCGTGACGTCATACCGACGTACGCTGATGCGCACTGCGCACAATTATATCTGTAAACTAGTGACGATCGCATAAGAACAGGTAGGGTATCCTTAAACCTGAAAAACGAGCTGATTCTAAAATTGTTAACTAGCAACACATGAAGATTTACATCCGGAAGATATTTAGTAAATAAAACTTTTAATTCCTTTGACATAGCTTCAGATGCTGGGCCAAAGTAGGGAAGAAAACAGTAAACAACTTTCTTATTGTCACACTTGAGAACAACTGCAGTATATTGCTTGGACTTGAACTTCTTAATTTGGGTAAACACCAGGTGCGATGGAAAGCTATTTTGTGAAAAGATATTGCGCAACAATTCAAATTCAGAGTGCATGGCTAGAAAAGTAGAACAAATGTGAAAGCCGCAGTTTATCAATGTTTGGATCCCATTTAATTTGCAGCGAAAGGAACAAAAGCTAAAAAAGCTGGTGCTTAAGCCGGTATAGGTCGATTTTCTAAAAACAGAAGTTTGGAAACGGCCATCAGATTCGGTAACTTTGCAATCAAGGAATGACAAGTTATTGTTTGATTCGAGCTCCATGGTGAATTTGATAGATTTATGTTGGAGATTAAGATAGTCAAAGAACAGGCCCACATGTGAAGGATGCTTAAAAATCAAAAAAGTATCATCTACGTATCGGTTATAGAAATTGGCTTGAAATCCAGAGGACAATTGGAGGGCTAATTGCACATCTGAGGTAACCCCGCAAAATCGGCGCCTGAGCCCCTACGCAGGAACAAGTACGGCAAGGAGTTACGGGCGCCGGTTTGTGGGCAATTGTGAGCTTCAGTGCGTGTAGAGTGCGGAATCAAAACTCAGTTATGTACATGTCGGTTAGCTCGTAGCAGCGCACTCACAAACACGGTAACGGCACTCAGTCCTGCAAGGCGCGGTCGGCAGCAGTTGACGCACGTACAGTGAAAGTAACAGGCTTCACTCATGCGTGTTGCAATCTCCGGATTTCTCTGTAGGCACAACATATGTAATCCGAGATTCGACATTTTCTGTTCAGATTTTTTTAAAGGCAACTATTTTAAATAGTCTCTTCAATCTTCGCTAGCTATCCTCTCCCAGTAAAGGTGAATGAGGTCATGTTTGAATTTTGTCTATTTATTTCAGGTCGTTAGTAAATTATTATTTCTCTCGATTCTCAGTAGCAACAGATTGTTTATGCTCCAATCGTTTAATGCCTTCAATCAGCTAATAGTTTTCTAAATTGAATTTTTCAATTTGTGTAAAGCTATACACTAAAGTTTAATAAGAAGGAAATAATTTCGTTTCGGCCAATTTATTTTGTCTAATCGATTGAGATGACCTATATGAATGATGCGAACAGCTATGAAGTAATGCTTTGTTTGGACTTGAACGATTGCAACCAATCGTGTCACTATTATCTACTAAAAATTTACTGCTCTTTAATCTGTGAATGTTTATTTAGAGTTATAAATTAAAATTACTATATGTATAAAACTATGATCGAGGAGCCAGCAGTTACTTCCCACTGCAGTCGAAATTTCAGCAGACTACCTTCAACCTATCTATTACACTCTTTTATCTCCTAACCGTTCCAGTGAGCTATCAGCTCCATTTAGCAAGTTCCAAAACAATTAAAGAGACGCTCATTCTTGTTAAGATTATATAAAAGGTATTTTAATATGCAAGTGTTTATTAATAATCGATTTCATTGTACTGAAAAGAACTCGGCAAAATATAAAATTTTGGTGATCGGCAGGTGTCAGCAGCGTACTTTCTCAGAAGTTAGTCAGGCATGAATTTTCACGGCACTTTTAAGGTCAAATCTCTTGAAGTTTGAGATTACAGTTGCGGGTTTAGTTTAATTTAGATATTCAAATTTAAACTTTTTAATAAAAAGGGTGCCATAGCGGAAGTAATGCGAGAACTGGACTGCAACGAACGAGTCTAGTTTTCAGAATAACTGAAAACTATATAATGCATGGCCTTGTGCTCCCGATGGACTTGAACTAAGCGTTAGCCGGAGTTCCTCAGTGAGTCGCCACGGTATCCGCTAAACTATAATTAGCTGTCCTTCCTTCAGTTTAGACTAGTAATGAAAAGTAGCCTTCATCCTAGCCTCGTTACCGTTCTACATGGGTCTACATGTGACCCACACTCTTATCGTGACTGATCTGCTCAGTTCATCAAAAGTCCGATAAAAATACGTACTTTTCCACGACAGCGATAGGGTTTCCTTCTGAAGATCTCTCTTATCTTCGCGGACTGCTGACAATGAAAACAACGTCTAATCCTTTATCATTTCTATAAATTTATGAATTAGAATACTTAAACATTAATAATTCATTCGAGTGATCGGAATGATTTTCAAACGATTGAATTTATAACCAATCAAATTGCGTCATTCCCTTAGTTGTATTATAAATCATTCCCTACGACCTATTATCACCTAAGGTACGCGATTCTGGCATTAGCATCACTGATAAACTGTAACACAAAATAAACTGATTCACTTCGTTGAACGAAATTGATGGGACTCGTAAGATATCATTTTGCTAAATTTCGTCTCGCAACGAAACCGAAGCAAACGCGACAAAACTATTACATACACTGATGCTGCACTCGTAGGGTAAAAATTTTTAACACTTGACGATGAACTTTTAATATTCATCCCTCTTCTTTTAGTTAGTCAAATGATCCCAGGCCATTGCGCAGAAGGTCGGTCAATGTGAAATAACATTGATTCATATACATACCGAAATAATGTTCAAAAATTTAACTTTCATGCCAAGGAAAACCTTGCATTAATCATATCCGCAATACAGCCGCAGATTTGAGATAGGTCAGCCTCATATACGTAGTCCTAGCTTTTTTTAACTGAATCCCTATTGTCATCCTACCATATAGAGAGCTCCAAAATACAACAAAGGTCGTTAGCAGAAATCAAAGCAATAAGAAATCATGTACAAACAGAAAAGTTATCAGGAAGACCTTCATAGCGGTGAGATGACTCCTCTTGATGAGAAGCTTCTTTAAAATGAGCCGAAAAGAAGTTCGGGATGTAATCGGACAGGCTCATTTTATTTAAACTTGGTACATTCTCACAAGATTTGAATTGGATCATGGTGCACGGAATTCATTTCGTCGTTAAAGATTACTCAGAGCGCGTGAAGTCACTCTTCTCAACAGGCTCTTCCGGGCGGTTAGGTTAGGTATATTCCATTATGCAAGATCCCTCAGTTACTCTCAGCCTCTTCATTAAAAGCCAACTTACTTGTTGCCTTGGATGTCAAAATTACTGAATTTATGATCAATATTCAGTTCAGCCCTGGCATCGTCCGCTCTTCGTCTATGGGATGTCACTTCTCCTCCAAAGTAGCTCTTTCATCCTTGGTGAGAACAGATTTTCACTTGGCGTCCAAATGGAAGGCGTTGCGAGCTTTTTTGTGAGACTTTAATGACATAATTGTAAACTTAATTGCCCATCAAAGGATCGATAAGCATTAAGCATGGTTATTCACAGAAAAACTGTGACTCCGGAGATGAAATGTGGCGAAGCAGGATAATATTTCTGAATAGTAGTTAGTGTACATATTAAAGNATTAAGCATGGTTATTTACTGAAAAACTGTGACTCCGGAGATGAAATGTGTCGAAGCAGGATAATATTTCTGAATAGTAGTTAGTGTACATATTAAAGATTAAAGTCAAGTATCTGCTGTTTAAAAGACTTTCCTGAAAACGGTAACTGTCCAATGATGTAATGTTATCTCTACTTAGAAGTAATTGAAGCCGCTCAAATTGACATGCATCAGAGGACAAATTCGTATTTAAAGTCAAATAAACAGATCTTAACACATACTACAGCTTTAACAGAATTCAAACGTGTAGTTCCCATAGGCATGTAGTCCCAATCCGATTAAATCATTCTGATCGCATATAGTATATCTCCGTCATTGTCGATCAAAGAAATTGGAACTAAGCGTCTCAGCTTCCCAATCACCAGATGTCTTCAGAAATTTGCCGTGCATCGCAAGCGTCACTTCACGGCAGTCGTTGCACTTGCAGCGAGTATACTTAAACTGCTGAGGAGCGAAGTCTTGGTGCTTCCTATTGGTGCAGGGCAGTCCTCGCTGACGTCTAGTCTTGCGCAAGCAGCCACGCGGTCTTCGAAAGGACATAAGCAGTTCTGCCACAAAATGAACCCATGCCCTCCACGGGATCGAGGTGAAATTCTGGTTCTTCGGCAGAAGTACCATGCACTGTTTCTGCAATAGAATCATTACTGTTGTATTTTGTATCAATGGAGTCATACCTAGAAAATAACGCGGACTAAAAACGAAGCGGAAGTTGTATTCTACGAAAGAAGCCAAATATCTGAAACAAGAACCACAAACGCTCTTCGACGAAGTTTAAATATTAGTTCCTCAATATCACAGTGTAATACTTATTTGCTATTTCCCATAAGAGGCAAGAAAAGTTTGAATGAATAACGATGTGCTGTGAAAATATACGTATTATTACAGTATTACCGAGTTTAGAGAGCGCGAATTATCCTATTCACCAAGTTTGGAAAGTAGTCAGACATTCGCTCGCAGATGATAATGCTTCAGGCAATCGACAATAAGCGTCCATCTGATTCAATTCACATAAACGAGTCGTCTGTGTAAAAACTAATAAGGAAACTAATTATGACGCCGTTCGGGGTGACACAAATCCACCTAATTAAAATTCCTGTGCTCGCGAGACATCAATAGTTAATTTCTTAATCGTCTTTCTAAGTTGCCAATACCGTAAAATACGCAAAACGTTAAAAATTTATTTTCTGAGTCAGCAGCCCTGCGCTTTAACTTCGATCAATATGAAATTTTTGTAATTATTCCATTGACATTTTGGCACCATATAATTAATATCATTGTACTTGAATAAATTACGAGGAAACATTGTACCTTCACTGCACTGTCAAATCGTTCGACAACCTAGTACCTTCTGACTGAGACTGACTCGAGGAGGTGGCGATGATGAACTGGAGGTGGCAGGGGTAGGTCCACGAACAGTACCTCTTCACTCGGTTGATCAAGGCATCAAGCCCATCTTCCGTGGGACCTGACGAGACAAAAAATGTTGGCAATAGGTAATGCTACATTACGACATTTAAACTACAGAATCGCATTTATTGTGAGTATTTCAACTAAAATTTGAAATGCATGTGAGTAACACAAAGTTCAATACATGGATGCAAAGAAGCTTTAAATCATCTATACAAGAAAATGACTACCTGTCCATAATCTAAGTCATCGTGTGTACGAACATTTAACTAAATTTTACGGAATAAAAAATAATACAATGAATAGGCTAAAATATAAATGAATCTTCCAATCAGTGGCATAGAGTCATAAAATAAAATTAATAAAATTCAAACATGGTTATAGGAACGCGTCCACGACCCGGTAAATTTTCTAGCTCATTGACCTAGAGAATCTAACAAGGGAACCGAATAATTTTGTAAGCAATTGCCAATTGAATCTAATGTACGAAACAGAAGCAAAGCTGGAACTGTTTCTTGAAACTGAAGCAACGACAAGTAGAAATAGCACACGGCTTAATTAATGATTTCTTGATTGCATTTTAAAATAATGGCTTAACTTCTACTTATTTTTTCTCCTAGCCTCCCCGCTCCAAGGCGTTCCAAGAGACGTCATTCAAGATTTATATCTGAATATAAAAGAACATTTCAAGCACAGTAGGGTTTTACAGCGAAATAATTCGTGGCTAAATCAACAAATTTGCTTTCCTAACAAATCAATGGTTATTGCTGACTTATTTAATGCAACTATGCTTCCTATTAAATTTTTTGAAAGAGTAAATGAGGATTAAGATCATTCGAACACGAAATTACTCACGGGAAGTGTTCGGTTCAGTAGTGCGATGAGGCCCAGGAATGTATGGCGTGGGGTTTGGCGCCATATTCCCGAAGTAAATAGCGTACGTTAGGTATGTGTAGTTACAGCCTCATAAAAAGCTCAGTGAAAAAAAAGTTCATATTTCATAGCACATTTCATTTAGGCTACTTCTCATAGGCCTTCAAAATTCCACATGCATGTGAAAACAGGTATATAATCATAATATTAGATAATCACGCATATTAGATCAAATATACTAAAACTAAACCATTCTTTAATAACGACATTTCGGGACGGAACAAGTTCCGTGAAAAATGTCGATCGTGAACGTATTAAAGAATTAAACTTCCATTCACAGAATTCCCTAATATGACCTATCTGTGTAACAATTACCTAACAAATTATTCCGAATATTCCAGCTTCTGAACGCATCACTCACCTCCAGCGTTTTTCCGTTCATTTCGCTTCCTTGTTCTTCCTAGGGCCACAAAAAATTTGCCTCCTGAAGGCATTAGTAATGTTGCGTAAAGGCCCGTTTCCACTACGGGACTGATTCTGAAGGATTGAGATTGGCCTGAGAGTCTGAGACTAATAAGCTACATGACTGGACTTGAAAACTGGCGTGCGCGTTTCCACTACGCGCGTGTGCTGGGATTGAGACTGACCGTCTGGGCTACCGCACTCGCTGGCCTTTGAAATTAGATTATGCTGCCGCTCTTGATTTACTAACTTTTGTCACTATGCGCTGGAGGAAACAAAGATCTCTTTACCTAATAGCAGCTATTAAACGCAAAAATGTTTTCAAGCCTCTCATTTAACATAGTTTATCCGTGTAATAACATGCATTCACCTAGGGATTAAGAAACAGCATTATCTGACCTTTAATGTGTCGAGATAATCAAATGTAATAAATACGTCACAATGATTAACCATGTCTGGTTAAAATGTTTGGTTCGCCAGTTAGTAAACCTATCATGATTCGCCCCAGGTACACAATACCTGCATACACAATGACATTTTGCATTACACACCATGACACCAATGAGTACTTGAACACAGAAAAACACGGCCAAAATTTTGTTCTGATAGTGTACTAATTTGTCTAACTCAGAGACTTTACGAGCCTAGGAGGGAATACTTCGGCAATGAAAGGGAGAAAACATAGTGAGCCTGGCCGAAGTAATTCGCCATTTTAGAACGCACTTGTCACACACAAAAATTCTAACATTTCCACTATGTCACTAATCTGCACGTCACAGTATTACACAACGTTCTACGGAGAAAAGTTAGTTTCATCTATCCGCGACGGTGGCAAAACGCAGTATGGCGTCTCTTGCGTGCTCACATTGTAGACGCGACTTGACGCGTGTCAACGTCTGATTGGTCGAGCTGTGGCATCAGAAATACAAATAGAAAGCTTCATTATCAATCTACTGTCTAGAGCTGTAGAATAGTAAGATTTTTCGTACTCGATTTGAAACAAAGCAATGTATACGATAAAATGGCCCATTATTATAGACGATGAATAGATCGATAATATTCAATAAGTTTACGTTGACGCAGTCAATGGCAGGCCTGTGATATCTCTTCCTAATTTCTACTAGTAAGCCCCGCCCATTCTCGATGCAGACTGCTAAGAAACAACAACTTTATTGATGAATACGGAGTACCAGTATTTCAGCATTTAGCACCAGTCAAAGTCACATTAAAATATTTTAATTAATGCATTAATCTATAATCGCTTAATTAAGAGTCCTAAAAAAAGTGTTCCACGTCCCCGTACGATAAAACCAAGAACTTTTTCAACAGCGTCTATAGTGTGCGAGTCACCATAGAGACTCGCACCATAAAGTCGTTCACATTATCGAGTGCGGGTTTAGTTAGCAAATTAAAATTCCAACGTGCATGGGTACACATCTCCAAGTTATTTCCATTACCTAGATTTTTACGCTGTTGCAAACCAAAGAGTACATCTAATTTATTTGCAAATAGTCGTAGTTCAGCAATAAAAATCGTTTATTGCTGTCGCTGTACATTCTATGTATTTTAACAGGTTTTACTGAAGTTAGTTTTGACGTTACAATTCGAAAATGGAAGCGTACATCCACCAACTAAGGCATCACGATTAAAAAATATGATTTTTATGACCATTACATCTAAGTAATCGATCAACAGACCCTATATTCGAGCTGAACGTGCGTTCAGTTCTCAAAGAATATGACATGAACTTGCTAGCAATGGGTAATGAGCCAATAGGACGAATGTGAACGAGGCGTTGTCAACAAACTTCCCACATCCATGTTAGGTAGGCAACCCTGACAGATCGCCCAGGGAGACTTCGCTGAGCCACGTGTAGCCGCACTGGTGTCCAGCGTCGAGACTTGGTCAACTGGGACAGTTACATAGGTGCCTGGCTGCATTCGTACATTTATCATTAACAGAATTCGTTTGAGTACATAGTGCAAAGAAGTTATTCATACGTAACTACTGATATCCCGAAAGTTGATATATTTGGAAGTAGGTACGTAGAACACTATACGATTTTTCATCCAAGTCACTTTTTTCTAGTTGTATTTTTGGCAGATCGTCACATGAAATAATTGAGATTTCGAGAAAAGAATAACACGAAGATAAAATATTTGCTACTGAACCTTTCACAGAAGCAGCAACAAACGAAACATACTGAGATTCAGATAACTCAGATGATGCAGCCACTAGCAATTCTGCTCGCCTGTCGAGAATAGTCATTGCAGCAACAGTAATCACCAAATGTAAAAACAATGACTATCGACAGAGAAGAAAGTCAACTGTGGTCGACATGGCAACATTATACTACGACATATACGTGGCTAGCCCGTGAGATTTAGTTATAAACTTTGGGCAGCAGATAAATCAGATGATAGTTTTCTGATATTGAAGCCAATCGGCGGATCTAATAGAAAAAGAAACTTATTCATGGGCTGGAACATGGATTGGTCCCATAAACATGATACAATTGGTCCCAAGCCAACATATTATATGTGATATCTATTCTGGTTTAATTTAGCTTCTCAAAAAACTTTTGAAAAAAAGAATGGCTATTGCAATAAATTTTGAAAAATATCTGTTAGGAAATGCAATAATGCAGGAGACCCTAAATAAAACAATCAGGGTCTATAGTGCACCCTTCTACTTCGATCCTTGATGAAGTGCAATACAACAATCAACAACATCGGCCAGTAAAGAGACGTCAGAAGCACTGCAAATGCAGTGCTTCGTAAACAATGTTGACAACGCACCCACAAACATACGTAAAATGGGCAACCTTCCTACTCATTTTGAATGAATGGAAGCATTCTATGCTAAAATTGAATTGTGTTCTGCCATGATTGGTTTATCATCAGTATTGTCCATTATGAATACGTATACTATTACGTATTAACGATTATGAACAGCCTTGCTTGATTTACTATCGGAAAAAGTGTTGTTTGAAGAAACTTTATGTTAATGCCGAGCGGTTCCATATGGAACCAAGCTATAATTTTTCACATACAACGAAAAATAAATATATGAACATATTTTTTGCTTATTACCATCATAAATGATAATATTCTCACAAAGAACCAAAAAAAATTTCAGAAAATAATTCTCGTCATTAATGGGTTAGTCTAGGCGGGCGTATGCACTGCCATTCGCTCGCTCTCGCTGCTAATATGACTAATGCACACGTTGGCCAGTGTTTGGTTTTGTGGACTGGGGAGAATATAAAAGTTTAGTGCGTACATAGTAATCTCCCGGCTCTAATTGTTCTTTCATTTGCCATACGTTATTTATTGTGACAATATTTAAAAAATATGATTCACAGTTATTTGTTGGGACAACAACGACACAGAGATTGGTAAGCCTCATGATTAGAGACAGTTAAAACATCTTATAAGTTAGTTTTAAAATCTAGCTATATATAACAGTTAAGTCGGAAATCATGGAGAATATGTCAGGTTGACTCCCTCATCTGCAAGACGTTGACTAATAGTGAATAGCGCGAAGTCTAGTGATCGAATAGTGCCAAGCCCTGGTGATCGAACTTCTCCAGGGAGTTAAGTTTAGTCGAGCTTCTGTTGAGACTACCCCTACCGTAAGCCGCTGGCTGAGATACTGTGTAATGATGGAATTGTACAGATTATTACCTGTGCACACAGTTTCGAAGCCCAGACCGTCAGAAGCTGAATGCTCAAGAATGGATCCGACCCGGTGACTCTAGCTAGGGTTTCCACCAGGCACCAGGTCAAACAAGCGATATGAAAAGTAGCCTCAAACACAACCGAGTATGTGTGGAGCCTTTTTTGTCGGAAATTCCAAAATGCCATATTAGTTACTTGCCCGCTAAGTAGTTGAGCGAATATTTAGTGTCATTAGTGAAGCCGCAATGTGCATAACTTCCCATTTACTACCACTAACTTCCCATGTTGATATCAAACAAGAGGCGTGTAGTCGGAAACAATTAGTTTGGACAATAGTTGTTAAAAATTAGATCGGTCGTTTCCATTTGGTTCTGGTGCAGTTAGACAGTGGTTCTCAAAACGTGGCAAGCCTGGTGCCTACCACCAGCGGCACTTGACGGTCATCCCAGGGGTATATTAATTCTATGGGGTAATGCACTTTTTCTAGTTAGGTCTGCTTTACTTTTAAAAAATAATCGCTGCTTAACATAAAATATGGAAGTGATTTCCCACTGTTGCCTCAGTTGAATTTTGATCATCATGCCTACCTAATACGTAACTTATTAGCGCATTAATACAGATATAATGCAAATAATACTGAAGAGATTCTTTTAATATAGAATAATGATGATACGCGGCAGGCATATATTTTATGGTACATGGCGGCTGTACAAAACTTCCAAGTGCCACTCGATAGCAAAGTTTATAAACCATTGCAGTAGGAGATACTAAATGTGCTATAAGGCTGAGTAGGCCACAGAAAGTGGCATAAGCGAGGCACTGAACTAGCGTATCATGGATGCAGTGTGTCATGGATGCAGTGTATCATGGATGCAGTGTGTCATGGATGCACTGTGTCGTGGATGAAGTGTATCATGGATGCAGTGTGTCATGGATTCAGTGTGTCATGGATGCAGTGTATCATGGATGCAGTGTGTCATGGGTGCAGTGTGTCATGGATGCAGTGTGTCATGGATGCAGTGTGTGATGGATGCAGTGTGTGATGGATGTAGTGTGTCATGGATGCAGTGTGTCATGGATGCAGTGTGTCATGGATGCACTGTGTCATGGATGCAGTGCATCATGGATGCAGTGTGTCATGGATGCAGTATGGCTTGGATGCAGTGTGTCATGGATGCAGTGTATCATGGATGCAGCGAATCATGGATGAAGCTTATCATGGGGGCACCGCATCACGGATGCAGCGCATCACGGATGCAGCGCATCATGGATGCAGTGTGTCACGGATGTAGCGTATCATGGATGCAACGTACCATGTGTATGTAGCTTACAGGACCACGAATAAAAGTATTGTGCAAGCTGGCATCATTGTATAGCGTAGTACGCCACGACTTACGTGATTTACTGTCACTTGCTTCCGTCTTTACCGGCGTTGATCCGGAGAAGCGCGGGAAACTCGAAAGGTCACGCAGTCCCAATTGCCGCAAGACGCATCCGGCTCACAATAATTTGACTAGCAAATTCTTTGCGCTGCTCGTTAAAGGAAAACAAAGCGGACCAAATGAATTCTGACGACACTCGCAGCCGCGCAATGTGAATAATGAGCTATGATTTTACTTAGAACAAAATCGGTTCAGATTTGAAGATTTCAAGCGTGAAAAGTTT